AAGATGGAGTCTCAGCCCTTCGAAGGTCTGCGGTCGTCTTGCCCCTGCGCACTGCCCGCTGAAGCTGATGGTGAACTGCGTCCCAGACCCTCTCGCTCTCTCGGAACCAGTAATCGACAGAAGGGACATCCGACGGTTCCCCGGACCAGGGGAATAGGGGAGGCTGGTACCCGAGTACGCACTGGAAGGGAGTGAGTCCAGTGGATGGCTGACGGAATGAGTTCTGCGCGTACTCGGCCCAGCCTAGGCACTGGTTCCAAGAGTTCTGGTGGCCATGGCAGAAGGTTCGGAGGAAATGCCCGATTTCCTGAATTTTCCTCTCCGTCTGCCCATTGGATTGGAAATGGTAACCTGAGGAGAGGCTTATGGTCCCACCTAGGAGGGAGAAGAATGCCTTCCATACCCTGTAGATGAACTGTGGGCCACGGTCTGAGACAATGTCCTCGGGAATTCCATAATATCTGAAGACGTTGTTAAACATGATTTCAGCTGTCTCCATGGCTGTGGGTAGACCCTTGAGGGGGAGAAGACGGCAAGATTTAGAGAATCGATCAATGACTACAAGAACACATGTGTTACCATCAGAGGCTAGTAGATCAGTGATGAAATCAACTCCCAGGTGTGACCAAGGGCGATTGCGAGTGGGCAGCGGAAGGAGCTTGCCAGATGGTAGGTGGCGTGGGCTCTTGGAGATGGCACATTCGGAACAGCCCTGAACGAACCTTCTCACATCCCTGGCCATGTTGGGCCACCAGAAGCGATCCTTCAGCAGCGAGATGGTGCTGTTGGCCCCTGGGTGGCCAGTGCCCAGAGAGGTGTGAACGGAGTGAATCAGGGAAGTGCGTTGTGCTCTGGGTGACATACTGCACTCCTGGTGGACAGCCCGGCGGAGTAGGCATGGAAGCATTGGTCGAGGTAACTTGGCTATCGTTCCATTGGATGGGGCTTACGACGATTTCATTGGGGATTATGGATTCTGGTTCCTCACTGACCTCTTCAGGAGCATGTAGGCGAGAGAGGGCATCTGCTTTCACATTCTTGGGGCCAGGACGATAGGAAATGGTGAAATTAAACCTAGTGAAGAAGAGAGCCCATCTTGATTGAGTCTCTTGGCGTCTCGTAAATACTGCAAGTTCTTATGGTCAGTGAGGACGCAGAATGGGTGATGTGCTCCCTCCAACCAATGCCTCCATTCCTCTAGGGCTAGCTTGATAGCCAGGAGCTCCCTGTTGCCGATGTCATAATTCCTCTCCGCCGGGTTGAGTTTGCGTGAGAAGAAGGCACATGGATGGAGTTTGGCTGGTGTCCCCTGCTGCTGAGAAAGTACGCCTCCAACTCCTGTAGTGGAAGCGTCCACCTCAACCACAAATGGTTTATTGGGGTCTGGATGGATGAGGAGCGGGGCAGAATTGAAGGCTTTCCTAAGTGCTTCAAGGCCTCCGTGGCAGCTGGCATCCAGGACAGAGATTTGGGCTTATTTTGGAGCATGTTAGTGAGTGGACTGGTTATGGAGCTGTAGTGGTAGATGAATCTTCTATAGAAGTTTGCGAATCCCAGGAAAGGTTGAAGTTCCTTGACGGTGGTTGGAACTGGCCAGTTTCGGATGGCCTCAACCTTCCCCTCGTCCATCTGGATACCACCATCATCGATGACATAGCCAAGGAACCGAACCGAGGACTGATGGAAGGAACACTTCTCGGCTTTGAGGAACAGATGGAATTCTCTCAGGCACTCTAGGACCTCCGCAACGTGGTGGCGATGTTCGGCAATGCTCCGGGAGTAGATTAGAATGTCATCTATGTAGACGAGGACGGACCTGTGCAGATACTCCCGGAGTACCTCGTGCATAAAATCCTGGAATACGGAGGGGGCGTTTACCAGTCCATACGGCATGACAAGATATTCATAGTGC